CCACATACATAGAAAAAGCCGAATGTGGAATTGTGGCTCCAGTACTAGGGTGCTATTTTGGAGCAAAAATTTAGGGACAGTGTCCACGCACTGAGTTCAAGTCCCAAGGCTGAGACATAAAAGAAAAGAAATGCAAGCTGGGTGCTGGTACCTCATGTCTTTAATCCTATCTATTCAAAAGGCTGAAACCTGAGGATTGCAGTCCAAAGTCAGCCTGGGCAGCAATGTCTGTGAGACACTTATCTCCAATAAAAACTAGAAAACCAGAATTGGTGCTTTAGCTCACAATGTAGAGCACTTGGCTTGAGCTGAAGGGCTAACGGATGGTTCCTAGGCTCACAGTTCAAGTAGCATAACCAAAAACAAAACCAAACAAAACAAAAGGATAAAGGAATAAAGAAATCCATCACAAATGTAGGCTTGAACAATGAAAACTATATTTCAGGGATGGGAAGATGGTTCAGTGGTAGAGTGCTTGCCTTGCATGCATGAGGCCCTGGGTTCGATTCTTCAGCAACACATAAGCAGAATAAGCCAGAAGTGGCACTGTGGCTTAAGTGGTAGAGCACTAGCCTTGAGCTGAAGAGCCGAGGAACAGTACCTAGGCCCAGAGTTCAGGCCCCATGACCAACAAAAAGAAAAGAAAAGAAAAGAAAACTACATTTCACAGGTACTGTTGGAAGCACCCCAGTTTTATCTCTTTGTCTCTCAGGAATTTAGTTTTAGAGAGGACTTTTTTTTTTGGTTGTGGGGCTTGAACTCTGGGCCTGAGCACTTATCCCTCAGCTCTTCAGCTCAAGGCGAGCGCTCGACACCTTGAGCCACAGTGCCACTTCCCAGGAATTTAGTTTTAAAGAATGAAATTATTTTTTCTTTATATTGTTAGAGGTGCTTTTAAGTTGAAGTCTATACATTCAAATATGCTCTTTGATTCCCATTTTCATGAGGAATAGTTCTGGTCCACAATAGAGACATGTTGAACCCATACACTGGAGAACTAAAATCAAAAGTGAAAGTTACCAATCCAATCTTTCCCAATTATTTTTTATGGAAGGGATTACAAAAAATCCCAATAAACATGTAAGAGACAAGGGTAGGTTCTTTGATAAGAGAGAGGGAGACTGTTGTAGACCCTGGGGTGCCTGCCAGGAGCAGACAAAATGTGAGCAAAGGCTTCAGGACAATTGACTCCCACCCTCAGCACTGCAAGTCCTTGCCCTTTATTGGTTTGAGGAAGTGTGTGTTCTAGCTTTTTGGCCTGGGGCTTTACCTGTCTGGAGGCTTGGGTGGAAAAGATGTATTGAAATAGAATGAGGAAAGATGTGTGCTGTTTGCACTTTTGGGCACAGTGGGTCTAGACCAATATTACTCAAGCATTTGAGAAATATAGCTGAACTGTGTCATCAGCCATCACTCTGTCTCCTTAATTATCATCCCATTGGCTCTCAGAGCCTTGCTTGTGCTCTGATGGGATTGCGGCAGGAGACAAAAGATTTATTGCACATTTTAATGGTAAAGGTTTGAGAAGACAAGTCCGAGGTCCCTTAGATATGTAGCCTAAAGCTACTGAGAGGAACTGTTAGGATCAGAGAACAGGTAAGAAGTCTAAAGAGATATTCACATGCAAAATGAAAAGACAAAAGCAGACTGGTTTGCAAGTGATTAAGCTTCACATCAACATAGCCTAGCCTAAACTTCACTCTTCTATCCCTCCTGCATTCATCCCTGACCCCCCAAACCACTATCTCTTTGAAGGGAAATGGAGGTGATATGCCATGTTCATAAGAATCCCTGTGAGGAAACTTTTCACTAGATACCTGAAGAAATTATTAAAGGGTATGCAAATAGAGCACAGCAAATGCTTACAGACAGTGCCCAAGCTCTGAGTTCAAGCCATAGGACCAACAACAAAACAAAACACAAAATCCTTAAAAGAAATGCAAATTCAGAAAAAAACAAAAATTCATTTGATTTAATAGATAGAATTGGGGAGTTTCTGGAAAATTAATTGTTAGATTTTGTGAAATCCAAATCACCAGAAGTATTATGCTGCATAATTACCTAACAATCTCACTATTGTATGCCAGTGTTTTCATTACAGCAATGGGAAATGACACAGGTATTAGTTTATGGTTGTGAATATCTTTTTTTTTTTTTTTTTTGGCGGTTGTGGGGCTTGAAGTCTGGGCCTGGGCGCTACTCCCTCAGCTCTTCAGCTCAAGGCCTGCACTCTACCACTGTAGTTACAGCACCACTTCCGGTTTTCTGGTGGTTTATTGGAGATAGGAGTCTTATGGTCTCTCCTGGGCGGGCTGGCTTTGAACAGGGATCCTCAGATCTCAGCCTCCTGAGTAGCTAGGATTACAGGCTTGAGCCACCGGCGCCCGGTAATATCTTTGTAAAGTAGGAGGGGATATATTAAAAAAAATTAAGACAAAACAGAGATAATTTACATTCACCAGAACACAGGCATTGAATAAACAGAAAGGAATAAGCAACGCAGTCTCATAACCTCAATTTCATTATTAGAACTAAGAATCAAAAATCCAATGTATCCAATTCTCCCCATATATATCCATTTTCTGGTTGGTCTTATGTATTTCAAGAGGAAACAGTGGTTTTCAAGAAGAAACTGAGCTTAACTCCCACAGCAGGCAGAGAAAAGTCCCAATGCACAAGAGCACACTTGTTCCCAGGTTTGCAGCAGGGTGGCACCGAGCATTGTGGGAATTGTAGTCTCCATGGAGGATATTTTCTTTGAAAGTCCTGGGTTGTTTTTGTTTTTTGGAGGGTGGAGGTGGGGCAGAAGATGCTCTTGCGCATGTGTCTCCCGCCCCCTTCCCGCCCACCATGGGCATTTTAAGTCTGCCTCTTCCGGATTCTTTTCCTTTGCCTGGCTGCTGGAAGTGCCCTGAAGTACAGTTTGGCCTTCCACAGGTGGGAGCCAGGAGTCTGGTGCCCAGCTCTGTGCAGTGGAGCCTGGGAGCTGTAACTTGAAGGAATCTCATGCTTTGGAACTGATGTCAGGTAGGAAATGTGTGATTGCCGCGGGAGTCTCCCCTCCACTGGTTTCTGTTTGTTTTTCTGTTTCTGTTTCTTTGGTGGGGCATGAACTTTGGGCCTGCAAGCAGCATTCCTGAGCTCCTCAGCTCAGAGGGAGAGCTTTATACTTGAGCCAAAGTGCCTACTTCCCTCTCCACGATTTTCTCCAGTCTGGGGTTGATAATTTGCTTGAGGTTCAGGAGTTTGTGCTGCCATTAGCCTCTGGGCCTTCAGATGCAAGAACCTGGCTTCCAAATGTCTGAGAGCAAGCTGGGTCATTGTCCAGACGAGGAGAGCACAAGAGCTGTGCATTTGTACTCCAAGACCAAGGGATTCTTCTATTAACCCATGTGACTTTATTTGCTTTGCCCAGGTGTAAGAGGAGTACAGGAAGTATTCTAGTGAAATTGTGAGATGTATGCCTGCCTTGAGTCCTCTTACATTGCAGTTGTATTTGGGGCTTCTGTGTTGTTTCTCCTAGAGATAATTTAATCTGTTTGGCTTGAGTTTTTAATCTCCTGGGTGGATCTCACAAGTATTTGTACATGACCCTGTTTCTAGAGACAGTTGTATATGGGATATTGGAGTAGTGAGTGCTTGTCCTATATTTTTAGGAATGAAGCCTAGCAATGTTTGAAGCAGAGCACCCTATGAATAGGAATCTCCATCCTAAATGGACAGACCTTGTCAATTCTGAGAGGCCCTAAAGGTACGAAGCAGAAAAGCACAGGAAGGGGAAGATGTTGCTAGCTTCCCTTGCCTATTACAAAAATTGTTGCTACTTCCCTTAGCACCAGATTCACGTGGTACTCTTTCCTATACCACTGTCAATCACTTTGTGTTGTTGCAAGATTTAAACTAATTTCCAGGAATTGTGATGCGCTGGACTGAGGAATAAACCAGAGCCAAGTTATGAGAGGGTACCTGAGGCTGTGGTTTGGGATGGTGGGGTAATTGTTATAACAAAGTATCTATTAATGTAGTAATCCCTAATCCTCTTCTTGCTAATTTATTCAGCCTGTTACCACTATGATTTTTAGTATGTAATCATGCAAACTTATGTTAAATGTCCCATCTAAGGATTTGCTAATGCTAGCTCTTATTGGTTGGTTTTGCCTGGTAGTACAGAAAGTATTGGTCAGGGAAATTTGGCCTTTAAAGAAAAATCACAGAAGAAAACTTGAGGTAATATGTCTTACTCAAGGTTGTATGCTTTGTAGGTGTTGCTTATCTTCAGGTGTGTCACTCCTATATGGAGTATTTTATGTTGTATCTTTAGGATGGTCAAGGTTCTTTCCAAGACTGTTTAGGGAAATGAACATTAGGGACTTCTCAAACCTGGGTTTACCTCATCTTTACTCATGTCCCTTTGGCCAAAGCATGTTAAACGGAAATTGCAAGTCATTGCATAGGTGTGCAATGGGTACAGTGAAATGTGCCATTTGACAACCATTGTTGAAAAATTATAACACAATAAATATCTTCTGTAGACATTTTTTCTCTAAATTGTGTGAAAACTACATCATACATGCTTTCCCTGGTGTTAAAATATGTAAATGAATGAGGTAGAACACAAATTCCAATGGATGCCTAGGATACCGTTGTATTAAAAAAAAGCAGTTCCTACATGCCGAAGTATATTCAGTAATAAATACTTTTAGTGGAAATGTGATATGTTTTTGCTTTCAAGTATTCAATAATATTTGTGGGAACATTCATTTTTTCGAACTTAATGTGTACGTAAACATAGAAATTAGTTTGTTTAATAATATCTATCTGTCAGGAAATGGACTGCATTTGTGTTTCTTGGAAACTTTAATGCTCAGCCTGAGATATTAAAGATTCTTCTAGGACAACTTTATGGTTTTGCAGCCCATGTATCATGTTTGCAAGAGAAAATTCTGGACCCCAAATCTCACAGATTTATTTCTGAATATGTCATTTGCTTTATATCTCAGCCGTGCTTCTAGAGTCTTCTGTTCATTGTCAGCAGCAAGACAGAATGAATGGATCTCTGGTGAGTTTTATTATTTCTCATTTGTTTTCCATTCCATTATATGAACCTAAAGATTTCCAAGAATTACAAACAATGCCAACGACACAGATTCAGCCTCAGGAATGTATTCATAAGTCAGAAAAAGATGGCTTGTAGATTAGGAGATAAAGATTACTTGTAGGTTTAGCAGATTAAATGGTTATATTCTTTCTAAATTGAATTCAGATTGGCTTCAGAATGTCTAGGTTTCATCTTGTCATAACATGTAGTCATACCTGTTACGTGATGTAGTGCCCCGGAGCAGGTTACATCTCGTGGAAGGTGAAGGGTAGATTGCAACCAGATCTCATTCTCATGTGTAATATTAAACTATCTCAATGAAATTTTCCTGGAATTGCTGAAATAGTGTGGTCATACGCACCTTCGTGTGTTCTTAAGGAATGATTAACCTATATGTGCTTAAATTACTCTCCATATATACTTCTTGGATTACTTCATGGTCTTGGTCTTACTTGAAGCTGAGGCTATATGTGTTGCTAAACTTTATGGTCTTTTTTCAAAATCTTGTTTGTTTTCTAAAGTATCCTCACAAGATTTCTTTCCTCTATAATCTCTCTCTACTCACTTGTGTTGGTTATTTTTCTCTTTCTCTCTCTTTGTATCTATCTTTGAATCATTTTTTCTTACTTTTCTCATTCTCTCTTTCCTCCATATGTCTCTCAGTTTTTTTTTCTTCAATGATCTATCTGGGAACTAGTTTTTCTTAGTGATCAGCTTTATGTTGCTGACATTGCTCTTAAGATTGACATTTTTCTTACCCACTGTATAGGAAAATTGTTGCCTAGAGAGTTCTACAGGATTCCAGAAACAAAGAAAATTAGAGAAACACAAAAACATAAACAGATAGACTTAGGGGAAATCAGGGTTCTAAAGGCTCTCTGGCACTTGGTCTCTGGTTACCAGCAAGCAAGCATAGTTCCTTGAGTTCACACAGGGAAGATTACCATTGATAACATGCAAAATTGAAGTATCTATATTAATATTACAATCTGAGCCACAACAGGTTGTGAGGAAAACATGTTTCCTTATTCTCCTGAGACAGAAGACTGGTGCCCAGAGAAAATGCAGACATGAAGTTCACCTTACCTAGCCTTCAAGGTGAACAGCAGCTCAGTTTCAGATGCTATCTTTCCAACAGTAAGGAAAAGGCCTGCCCTCCAGTCTCTTAACCATCTCCAGAATTCTCTTTTACGCCTTCTGCAGCCAGCTCTCAGTGCTCTCAATGCTGTCAGGCTGGAATTCCAACCTTTCAAACCTTTTCCCCCTTCAGCTCAACTTCAGAGATCCATACAGAAAAGGACGTCCTTCCTCCAATTGATAAACTACAAGAAAATTTGATTTCACCTGATTCTGTTTTCTTTGCTCTAACTTCATTTGTCGTGGTACTCAGTTTTCTTTTTCCATACCACTACTTTTAAATATTTTCATTCACTGCCAGTATAAGATAGGTAGTTTTGATAAAAAAAAAAATACAGTGATGAGATTTTCTCTATTAGAAATATCATTTGTTGCAAAATTTCACAGATGTTTGCTCAGGAATTGATTTTGATCTCTGAGAAATTTCACTATTAACTAACAAAAGTGGAAATATATCTTTAGGGATCTACTGGAGAAATGACTCAGGAATATTTAACACATTTGACCATTTGGTCATATTTATCATTTTTGTCATCTTGAGTGTTCCTTTAGTCTCTATCAATTTGCCTTCACCTTCCATGAAGTCCTATTAAAATGAAAATCTTCTCAAGGAACATTTTATTCCCCTCCCACCTATATTTTGTATTGTAGAATGTAGAGAAAGTTTACAAAACTTCATGGTAGCAGTTCTTTTTTACATAGGAAGGAAATATCAGGGTATCTAAGACCACATTTCAATATTTAGTATTTAAACCAAGCATGGATAACCTAGGATATTTTTATGTGGGAACTAAATCAAATCTTATAAGGGCCCAATAAATCATTAGCTACTTTCTGGAGTACTGTTACTGTTTTATAATATTCATGTGGACACTGCTTTTCTTTGATCTAGTAATGTTCTATGTTCTGTATACCATGTGATATCCTGAATGTGTTCTGCTTGCTTATGAGAGTACTTGTTAATAGAAGGTCTAAATAGGGTTTACAGTGAAGCAGTAAATGTAAATGAAGAGAAAATATTTGTTTAATTCATTGTTACGCTTATATGTACTAAAATTTTATAAAAACTAATAATATAATTTTTTAGACAGCACCTTAGACTTAATGTCATCATGCCAGATTATTGTCTCCTTAGAATTTTTATCTTGTCTCTATTGCTAGAAGCAGAAATGTGTTTGCATACATTAGGGAATCTGTAATTTTTATTGGTCTTGGGGCCTGAATTCTCAGCCTGGTTATTGTCCCTCAACTCTTCAGGTCAAGGTGAGTGCTCTACCACTTGAGTCACAGTGCTACTTTCAGTTTTCTGGTGGTTTACTGGAGATAAGTGTCTCATGGACTTTCCTGCCTGGGCTGGCCATGAAACTTGATCCTCAGACCTCAGCCTCCTCAATAGCTAGGATTACAGGCATAAGCCACCAATGCCCTGCAAATCTGTATATTTTAATGGCCAGGTTTATGTATTGTCAAATATTTCTAATTTGCTATTTAATTTTCCCTGTGAAAAAATAACATAGCCAGCTGCAAACATTTAATGTAAGACAAAAGCATACCTGCAGCATAATGAAATTCCAGGTTGGAATTCTCATGACCCAGATCTAATTTCTTGATGGAAATGTGCCATTACAGAAGCTGATGTCATTTGATGATGTGGCTGTGGACTTCACCTGGAAGGAGTGGCAGGATCTCGATCCTGGTCAGAGGGCCCTTCATAGAGAAGTGATGCTGGAGACTTATAGCAACCTAATGTCCTTGGGTGAGCAAAGGTCACTTTTATTTGTAAGATCAAGTGTTTTTATTTTAGTAGACATTTGACTATGGTATTTAGGTATAAGATTCCAGTCCATTTCCAGGTGAAAAACTGCTAGTATAAAAGCCAGCCAAATTCAGGTTGGGGAGCTTGATATTGTTTGCCTTTCACACTACTGCTTGAGACACAACTCCATTTTGGATTTTGTTTTGGGATATATTCTTAATTTCCATGCCCAGGATGGTTTTAAGCCTGCCTCTTCTAATCTTACCTCCTAAATGTAGGGTTACAAGTGTAAGCCTTTGGACCATTACATTTTGTTAAAAAAAAAAAGATTCCAGTCCATGAGAAGTGTCATTTCTTTCTAAGGGAAACTTCAACTTCATTATATGTAACTCAAGAGCTAATTTTATTCTCATTCGTTAAGAAGGCAAATTAGTAGTTGGACAAAAGTTCTAAACTATGATCCACTAACAGGAAACTGACTTCCCAGACTTGGGGTGATTATTATATGTGGATCTACAGACTAGATAGAATATACATTACTACTGTCAGTATTATCTGGAAGTCAGTGGTTGAAAGTGTGAAAGTGTGTATTTGTAAGCCAAACCTGACATAGGTTTCATTGCTTCAAGCTTGGAATCCTAGATACTCTATAGGCTGAAATCTGAAGATTTTGGTTTGAAGCCAGCAACTGTAGAAAAGTGAACATGAGACTCTTATCTCCAATTAACCATTCAAAAACTAGAAATGTAGCCAAGACACAAACTAGTAGAATGCTAGATTTGAGCAAAAGTGCTGAGTTCAAGCCACACATGGGCAAAATAAACGCAAAGCTGGGGGAAAGTACACCATGGAGCTGTTAAGAATTGAGAAACCATGGGCTGGGAAGGTGGCTCAGTGGTAGAGCCCGTGCCTTGCATGCTTGTGGCCCTGTGTTTGATTCCTCAGCACCAATAAAGCAGAAAAAAAGACAGAATTTGGCGTTGTGGCTCAAGTGGTAGAGTGCTAGCCTTGAGCTTAGGAGGTGTGATACAGCTCCCAGGCTCAGAGTTCAGGCCCCACAACTGATCACACTCCCCAAAAATAAAACAATTGAGAAACCAGATTTAGGAGCAACCCAGTGAACAGGATGTCTGCAACATTACATTAATGATGACCCTGCAAGAGCAATAGTTCTCCACTATTTCTTATTCACAGGGCACTGTGTTCCTAAACCTATATTGATTGTGAAGCTGGAGCAAGGTGCAGAACCATGGACAAGAGAAGGCTCAGAAGAGAATTTCACAGGTGAGTTAAAGCATCTTGAATAGTGATGTTGGGTCCAGAGCCCAGTGGGTCTGTTTATTTGAGCTGTACAGAGCAATAGGATTCCTAGTGCCCTGAGTCATGTATGGAAAAGAAATAGGTGATCTTTTGTCTCAAGGAATTGTCAATCCAGAATTCTCGTGGAGACAAACTGAATTTGATGATCCACGTAGTTAATGTTAGCAATTCTCTTTATCTGTAGAGAAGTTATTCATAAAGCTAAGAAGACAATAAGAAATGTAGTAAGGAGATCTCATTTTATTTTAAACTAGTATTTTGCAGGTAGGAGGAAAATAGGATCAGGACAATTTCTTATCTGTGGTGCTGGGCATAGAGGGAGATTCAGAATGGAAACATTAAGAGTATGGAGATGAATAATTTGAGTAAATATTTCCTTGAGAAAAATATAAAAATCTGAAATACAGAAAAACATTATTTTCCATTGTAAAATGTCAGTACTACTTTCTTAATTACTACATTGCAGAGAAAAGTATATATTCTGTATAAAGCAATGCTTTGATATTTGAAAATCTAGTAACAGAATTTGAGAAAATATCATTATAGTAAGGAATTTGTGGGTCTTATTTATGTTTTTGTCTATTTTTCTATTATTCATTTTAGATGCCCCAGAAATGGAGGATGTGATTAGCACCTGCCAGGAAAGTCACAAGAAGTATCTCTCTGAAGTAGCAATCCTGAATAGTAAGCAAGGGGAGGAAAAAGTGAGACTTATAAGAAGTTTTCATTTGAGCTCCATACAGAACTCAGAACTGATTAAGAATAATGTGAACTCCTTAGGGATAAGGATAGAAAAGGTCACTGGCTGTCAGAGCATGGGTGTTTTCAGTGAACCCGGTAAGATGTGTGCTGCATATAGTACTCATGTGTCTTCTGTAGTTGACAAATGTAAACAGTGTGAAAAGTCTTTCACTGAGAAGAAACACCCTGTTGTCCCTCAGAGAACACACACAGGAGAGAAACTTTATGAATGTAACATGTGTCAAAAGTCTTTCACCCATAAATCAAAGCTTACTCTCCATCAGAGAACACATACTAGAGAGAAATCTTATGAATGTAACCTTTGTGGAAAGTCTTTCATCCATAAATCAAAGCTTACTGTTCACCAGAGAACACACACAAAAGAGAAACCTTTTGAATGTAACATTTGTGGAAAATCTTTCTCCTGGAAGGCATATGTTACTAGACACCAGAGAACACACACAGGAGAGAAACCTTATGAATGTAACAACTGTGGAAAGTCTTTCCCCTGGAAGACACACCTTACTCGCCACCAGAGAACACACACAAAAGAAAAACCTTTTGAATGTAACATTTGTGGAAAGTCTTTCTCCTGGACGGCATATCTTACTCTCCACCAGAGAACACACACAGGAGAGAAACCTTATGAATGTAACAACTGTGGAAAGTCTTTCACCAAGAAATCAAACCTTACTCGCCACCAGAGAACACATACTAGAGAGACATCTTATGAATATAACGTGTGTTGAAAGTCTTTCACCGAGAAATCAAAGCTTACTTGCCACCAGAGGAGACACACAAAAGAGAAACCTTTTGAATGTAACATTTGTGAAAAGTCTTTCTCCTGGAGGCATATCTTACTAGCCACCAGAGAACACACACAGGAGAGAAACCTTATGAATGTAAGATGTGTGGAAAATCTTTCATCAAGAAATCAAATCTTAATGTCCACCAGAGAACACACACTAGAGAGAAACCTTATGAATGTAACTTGTGTAGAAAGTCTTTCACCCATAAAAGAAACCTTACTGTGAACCAGAAAACACACACATTAGAGAGACCTTACGAATGTAACATGTGTGGAAAGTCCTTCTCTTGGAAGTCAAGCGTCACTGTCCATCAGATAATGCACACAGGAAAGAAACCTTATGAATGTCATATTTGGGAAAGATTTTCAGCCAAAAGCTACAACTTTCTATCCACCAGAGAGCACACACAGGAGAGAAATTTTATGATTGTAACCTATGTGGAAAGTCTTTCATCCAGAACATACACCTTTCTGTCCATCAGAAAAAAAACCCACCTGAGAGAAATGTTATGTATGTAGCAGGCATGGAAATTCTTTCACCTGGAAGGCACACCTTAACATCCATCAAAGAACACATGGAGAGAAACCTTATGAATGCACCCAGTGTGGAAAGACCTGGAGGTCACAGCTTAACAGACATAAGTTGCTTCACATAAATGAAATAACTTAGGATTGTACCAAATGGGGAAAGTCTTTGATCTGTAAGAAAATTGAAATTGCAATACAGAACCAATACAGGATAGAGACCTTATGATATAGCAGATGTGGAGTCCTCCAACTACAAGACACAGCTCAGGGTTCATCATAGAACACATAAAACACACAGACACACACACACCCTCACACACAAAGAGGAGAAAAATCGTATGTAGAAAAAATGGAAAGGTTTTCTAGAAAAAGTCATAACAGTAGTAAAGTCTTTCTTGGAGGGGTAACAATGCTCAATTGAAAATGTATTCATGACCTAACTCATATAATGGTATAACCAATCTATACTGTATCTTTACAATAAAATATATATTTAAAAAATATGATGGATTAATAGACTAGAATCTCTACATTTTGTCTTGGGGGAGAACCCCAAAGTGTCTTCAGTGCTTGCACTTTTCTTTAATTAATCACTGGTGATGAAAAACTTGTGATTGATTCACTCTTAGCACATTTAGTTGTTCTGCTGAGTGAGCTATAATAAAACACCAGTTATCTATAATAAAACACCCATGTTATCTCATAGAAGGCCAAAGTAAATATGACATTAGGGGAAATAATCAAGCACACAAAGATATTGATCAATCTCTCACAAAAATTGAAGTTAACAAAGAAATAAAACCATCTGCCACTTGAGCTACAGCATCTCTTCTAGACCCTGAGAGGAAGGAAGGAAGGAGTAGGGAAGTGAGAGAAGGAAAGAGGAAGGGAAGGAATGAGGAAGAAGGAAGAAATAAACTATTCAAAAGAAGAATGTTTAATTATTGGTGAATGTGAGAATTATTGTTTCAGAGGTGGAGCTCACGAAATATAGCTTATACAAAAAGAAAATTTTTGAATGTTTACAAAATGATAAAGAGGATGTAACATTTTATAAATTGATTTACTAATTCAGTAATATTAAGTAAGGAGGTCAGGTGTGGCTGGTGCACTATTGGCCACATGGTAGATGGTGGGGTCTGGCATCTTGTTTTCATGCAGGGGGAAGGAAATGACCCATCCATCACTTGCCTCCCAACTGATGGGTGGGGCTGGATCCCTGCAAGCAGGCATGGGCATTTGGCTGATACGTTACTCAAACTGATAGTCCAGTGCCTGGGACTGGGAATTTCCTGTAGACCTGCCTCCTGCTTAGGCCCTATTTAGGCTGTCCCAGCAGTGGCACCAGATGCCATGCCACATGTCTCTTTAATCATGTCCTGTGTGCCGTCTCCTGGCTTGTCTCTGGTCATCTTAGTGTCCCAATTCAGCACTCTCTTGGTGCTGATTAGTTTCTTGGTGTTGTTTTTATTCCCCCCCCCCTTTCTGTCCTGTTTCCAAGCTGTCTAAGTGTATTTGTGGACTGCAAGTCTTTGTTACAACAGGCTGCTTGCAGACTGCTTGCTGTGTAATAGACTCCAGTATTCCATCTAAAATAATGTGGCTTCCAACAAATATACTGTTTTCTTTTACAGAAACACAAAGTTTGATCTAACATTAGAATTTCTAGAGCCAAGATAGATGCCACTGTATAGTTATGTAATTAAAGATATCCTGGAAACATTTAGAAAAAAATGTTTGTTACATCAGAAAGTGCTCAATTAATAAACCAAGTCCAAGACTCCAGATCCTATATAAGCCAATCATTCTAGATATGTCCAGAGCTGTTTGGTTACATGAAGAGCTCTACTTTCACACTTTCATGAAGGAATGTTATTGTGCCAATATGAGGTGTTGAATTCAGGAACTGAGTTGAAGCCATCCAGAGCTGGCTTCAAAGGAGATTCTCTCATCTTGGCCTCCATAAAAGCTTTTTCTTTTTGCTTATGTGGTGCTGGGGAATTGAACCCAGGACCTCATGCATGCATGGCAAGTGCTCTAACACAGAGCCACCTTCCCAGGCATACCCTTCTGCTTATTTACAGAGGCCTAGTAAAAAAAAATGAGATTGGGAGGCACCTGTGCTCTTGGCCTTCCTATTTGTACCACACACACACACACACACTCTATCCATTTGGAAATTGCTCATTCTCCCATGTTTACAAACTGTATGCTTTCTGAGAAGGGATGGTTCACAGACTGGAGTCCTACCTAGACCTGTTATATACCTCAAATTATGAACCAACATGCCACATTCATTAAAAGTATGCCTGATAATAACATATTTTATTAATGTTTTGTATTATTTTTGTTATTATCATTTGGCCAACACTTTGCTTGAATTCACAATTAAAGGGACTTAATGCTCACTGAATTGGTAAAGTACCCTTTCCTCTTTTTTTTTTTTAATTTAATTTAATTTTATTTGAGAACATACTGTACAGAGGGGTTACAATTACATGGGCAGGATAATGCATACATTTCTTACCAAGCATTGCAGCCTCCTCCTTTGTTTACCCTTCACCTCCCTTCCCAGGCTCCCCCCTCCCCCCCACCCAATCATACCCCCCTCACCCCCCCACCGACATTGTAAAGCTGGTTTTGACATGACATTCTGTACTTCTCATTGTTGCAACAGGTCCACCTCAATCCTTAAACGACTTGTTTGTCCCCGTCTCCTCCACATGTTATACTGACATCAAATATAGTGAAAGCGGGGGTTACACTGTGGGGGAGGGACATACAAAGCAACAAAGAAATAATCTTATAAATGCATTAGAAACACATGCATGAAAGAAACAAAAACATTAAAATACATATTTGAGGGTTCGTTTTCCTAACATCACATTCTCTGACTTTTTCCGCTTGACTCATACCTATACTAGATATTGCAAATAAGGGAAACCATGGGACCTATGTTTCTTTGGGCCTGGCTTACTTCACTTAATATAATTTTTTCCAAGCCTTTCCATTTCCTAACAAATGGGGCAATGTCATTCTTTCTGATGGAGGCATAGAATTCCATTGTGTATATATACCACATTTTCTTGATCCATTCATCTACTGAGGGGCATCTGGGTTGGTTCCAGATCTTAGCTATGGTAAATAATGCTGCAATAAACATAGTTGTGCTGGTAGCTTTAGTGTGGCCTTGTTTGTGATCATTTGGGTAAATGCCCAAAAGTGGGATTGCTGGGTCATTGGGGAGCTCTATGTGGAGTCTTTTGAGGAACCTCCATACTGCTTTCCCAAGTGGTTGAACAAGTTTACATTCCCACCAACAATGAAGTAAGGTTCCTTTCTGTCCACATCCCCTCCAGCATCTGTTGTTGTTAGAGTTCTTGATTTTTGCCATTCTAACTGGAGTGAGGTGATATCTCAATGTTGTTTTGATTTGCATTTCTTTTATGGCTAGGGATGTTGAACATTTCTTCATGTGTCTATTGGCCATCCTTCTTTCTTCTTCAGAGAAGCTTCTCTTTAAGTCTTTCGCCCACTTACTTATTGGGCAGTTGTTTCTTTGAGGATTTGTTGTTGGGTGGTTTAATTTTTTGAGTTCCAAGTATATTTTAGATATGAGACCCTTGTCCGTTGTATGGCTAGTAAAGATCTTCTCCCAGTCCGTGGGCTTTCTATTGATCTTGCTAGCTATGTCATTTGCCCTGCAGAAGCTCTGCAACCTTATACAATCCCATTTGTCCAACCTTTCTTTGATTTGTTG